TAGTCTTGAATAAACTATGCTTATAGCATTTTGCAAATTTTAAGGTCGTCTATTTTCTTACAAGATTCGGTTCCATTCGACTTGTTTAAATTCGACATTAATCACACGACGCACATTGACAAATCGTTATACTCATACTACTCATAGTAATCAAAGTAACTAATACAATAAACGATTACTTTGTAGAAGAGTAACGATTAGTAACGAGTCCTCGAAAGTAACGATAACCAACACCACTACCACTGGGACGAAGTGTTGACGGATCCCACAGAATTGTGTCACTTGTCGATATGGTTAGTTTTGAAATATCAGGAGATAATCAGCTGTTATTCAAATCAGTGCATATGTTTTGTGATTCAAATAACGTCTAATATAAATGAATCGGTGAGTCCAAGAACAGTACAAGTCCAAAAAATGGCGTATTGAGTTAAGATAGCCAAATTGTTTAAAATTCGAAGACTCGTGTGTTGTGCTTAAAAACATTACAATGTTCAGGAATAATTCGGCTATACGCGCCACCTCTCTACGGCGTTGAGATGGAAAACATTACAAGTCCAGGACATGTACTGTTTTCGACCTCACTGATGTGGGTGTCACACATCGCGCGCGAGGTGGCGATAATAAATTATAAGAGTTAGGTTATCTCACTGCCGAGACAAACTTAAGAGTTGGAAGCAGTTATTTTTGAGAACAACAATGATTAGTTCTAACGAGAGTGATGATAGTGCCGAAGGTTTGCATGGGAGTAGAAAGCGAAAAAGGAATCCGAAAGTTTGGAAAGACAATAAAAGGAAAACTGCTGCTCTTAAAGGTGAAGCCTATGTTTCTACATCCGGAAAAAGGGTTGCACCAAAATCATCTGGGTCTCCATGTGGGTAAGTGTTATTATCGATACTAAAAAGCACAGAGTAGTAACTTGCGTATTTTAAAGGTGCAAGGAGAAGTGCACAGAGAAGTTTCCCGATGAAGAAAAAACCATCTTAATTTCCAAACTATATGACGGTAGGCCCAAAAATGAACGTGACATATTTCTTCAAGGCCTAATTGAGGTGACAACCATTTCAAGACGTAGAGGACGAGTCCAAGCTAATGCTAAGCCCAAATCCGCAAGTTTTAAGTACTCTATATTGGAGAGCTCTCGAAACCGTGTGGCAGTATGCAAGCGAGCTTTCATGAGTATTTACGGTGTGTCACATAAGCAAATTCAACGCTTAACTACATTGCTTGTGACCGGCGCATCTCCAAGAGATTTAAGGGGCCTACACAATAACAGGCCACGTTCCAAATCAGATGAAGTACTAATGAGAATTAGGGAGCACATAGAACGTTTCCCACGTAAAAGTACTCATTATTCTTCTAGAGTACATCAATACCTAGATGCTAGGCTAAATGTTAAAACAATTCACTCTCTATTTATTAAAGAAAATCCTGATTTGCAGCATGATGTTAAGTATGAATTCTATTTAAAGTACTTCAAGGAAAATTATGCACTCAAATTTGGAAGACCACAGGTGGACGTCTGTTCCAAATGCGAACGATTAGGCGCCAAGATTAAAAGTAAAGATTTGAATGATAATGCAAAGCGAGTGGCCACAGCAGAACTGATAGTCCATAAGCGACGTGCCAAAAATTTTATAATAAACTGCAGGATATCCAAAAACTCTGTCAAAATCGACCTGAAGTTGCCGGTATTACTTTAGATTACATTCAAAATCTACCCCTCCCGAATATACCAGTTCAAGAGATCTTTTATTTTCGGCAACTATGGGTATATATGCTTTAGAAATTCATAATTTATGAGACAATTCTGGACATTTTTACACATACCACGAAGGGCATGCCTGCAAAGGACCAAACGAGGTCTGCACATTCCTCAAAAACTACATAGAGACTCACATTCCTGGAAACGTGACAGAGCTGCATATATTTTCTGACGGCTGTCCTGGTCAAAATCGGAATAACACAATAGTGAGATTTTTCCTAGCTCTACAAGCAACCAAACGGTTCAAAAAAATTTATCATTATTTTCCTGTACGGGGGCACTCGTTCTTGCCCTGCGATATAGACTTTGGAACTTTGAAAAAACTTGTACGAAGAAGCGACCGAGTGTATTTACCAGAAGAATATCAAGAGATGATAGTATCGTGCAGGAAGAACAACCCGTTTACTTTTAAAGAGATTACCTACAAAGATAGCATTGACTTTAAAAATTGGTGGCCTTCTAGCTACAAAAAAACTGCGTCTTCGATCCCTAAACCTGGTGATACCACGCAGGCATTCACTGTTTCAAAGTATAGGCAGTTTGTTTATGATAGTTCTTCTCCAGGATATGTTACTACCTATGAATATATAGATGGTTTTATTTCTTATACTTTTAAGCTCCTCAAACAGAACAAACCAAGTCCTCCTTTGCCAGAGATACGCGCATATCAAGAGCCGGTTCCCATCAACCATAAGAAGATCACCGATATCAAAAAAGTCATGAAGTACATTAACGGTGAAACATTAGAATTTTACTACCATGTAACTTCCTGGAAGCAAAGCTACGCAAACGGAGATCCCGATGACTAATATTTTTGTATGGATTCGCCCAATAAAACATTTTTCATATGTCTAGCAGCCTCTATAAGAGTTCCTTTCCAACTCTATTATACGCTAAATCTGCAAAAATGTACAAAAAAAAGACTGAGTTCAAGAACAGTACAAGTCCATGAACTTCACCCTTCTACAACTTCGAGGGGTGTGATTTTTGTCTATTTTTTATTTAAAATTAGTATTCATATAAAGAATCACTACCATTTTTGTATGATAGCCAAAACGGTAACTCTACACATTCGGGAGCTATGAAGTTTTTTCGCGTTTTCTCAGAACTATCTTTTTGGACTTGTACTGTTCTTGGACTCACCGATTCAAATATAACCCAGAATATGTACTTGTACTCAGTAAAAAATAAAAATATTGCAAGTTTCTAGTTTTTCTCCAGGTTTTAGTTTTGCTGGTAGCTTACGACATATATTTGGGAATTTCTTAATCGCTAATATAGTACGGATGTTTGTTAAGTTCCTGAACAACGAAAAATATACAACTTTATGGATGTATGGATATTAAAAAACCAGAATGGTTTTGTGGGAATATCAATCTAAGGTGCCATAATGGTTCTGATGAACGGCAAGTAATTGAATGAATCTTTGGAAACGAGCAATACCTATGAACTTTTTGGTAGAGCCAGTCATCAAGTAGGTGCTTAATGGCTATCTGCAACAGGTTTATTGGAAAACACACCCAGTAGATGATCTTGAATCAGTAAAATCGCATATCAATTGAAGAAAATAATATTATCATGAATAAAAAGTCAACAATGGTAATTAAAACATGAATTTTATTCAAAGATCAAACTGTTGTTTAAATTTTGGCTGAGTTATATGTAATTTCTTAATATTCAATAAGCTGGTGATGTTTCAATGACAAGATGTCATCTCATACTTTGACAATATTTTGCTTTCAACATTTCATAGCTATTGGTTGCTAAAATTTGTTCATTGGAACTTGAAGCTCATTCGCTGTATTTGACGGACTGTTACCCTATAGGTGGAGAATAACGGACTGTTGTTGGTGAAATTGGCCCTTAGACGACTGGAAAATGTATTACAAAATGTTATAGAACCGATAAATGAAGGGAACCAGCCAATCTCAAAAGCAAACCAAATCGTGATATGTCTTCGATTTTTTGCTACAGGTTCTTTCTAGATTAATGTTGCTGACCTTTTCAATGTATCTCAGCTGTGTCCAGAATAGTGAAGAAAATAACAAGACAAATTGCTGCATTGCGGCCACAATTTATCACAATGCCAGAAACAGAAGATCAAAGGAGGGCAGTTGTTCTTGGTTTTTATAATCTATCACAATTACCTGGAATTATAGGTAACGTCTGATACTATTTTCATTCTATGAATATTATTTTACATGTACTTCCAAGAAACTAAATAGTAATGTTATTTTAGGAGCAGTGGATTACACCCACATCAAAACTCAGTCACCTGGAGGTGAAAGCGCAGAACGGGTAACATTATTTCAGTATTAATATGCAAATAATAGGTAGTTCCGTTTGGAAATTAATGGACATAGTTGTACGTTGGCTTGGTTCAGTTTATCACACAACAATATTCAATGACTCAAACGTGAGAGGTCGTTATGAAAATAATGAATTTTCACCCTACTCTATGGTTGGAAATGGAGGTTATCCTTGTAAAGAATCTTTATTAACACTCTTGCAAGACCCTCAAACATTACCACAACAGCGGTATAATAATACCTAAATTAAAACCAGAAACCCGGTAGAAAGGCTCTTTGGTGTAGGGAAAATAAGATTCTCATGCCTGTCACTAGGTATGAATCTAAAACTCGAAACCATGTGTGAGGTTATTGTGACAACTGCTGTGCTGCACAACATGTGAACATGTGAACAACATTAGAACAGAATGACACTGTTGAATTTTTTGACAATGGACGTGAAAGGGAACAAAATTGAAGAGATCGAGGTCCGAGTTGGATCTCTTCAAGGGATTCAATAATATCATCAATTTTTACGTTGTCATGAAAAAATAATTATAATGTAAACATTTACTTCATGTGTTCAAAATGTCTACCTGTTACTGATAACTTCACATTTTGCCTGTAAGTTATCATTGGCACTTGTATCTTCATGGGGACAGAAATAATAATTCAATTTAGTAGTAAATACTTCATATACTTTTATTGAATATAACTTAAAGTTTCGACACCAGCATTTTATTGCAACTTGTTTGTAAAGCATAGAAGTGTAACACATATCCATTACATGTAGACAATGCGACCATTCAGCTAACGTAAAGCGCAGCGCTTTTATGCTGGATAGCAGTAGCCATTAAATAACTTTTCTGTGATATTTGATCTGTTGGTTAATGTTGTGAACTGTAAAAACTATTCTATGACAACTACAATTCAGCATAAAAGCGCTGGACTGCTTTACCTTGACTAAATAGTCCCATTAATATATGCAAAATCTTTAAAAAAATAAACATTTTCCTTAAAACCTCCTTTATAGATTCATACAAAGCTTTCAATTTCTATACAGCAGCCTAGCGTAAAGAGTCATATTTTTCAAACTCAATGTTTTTCGTTTTGAGGTTGACTATTCCCTTTTGTTTAGTGAGGTCTTTAATGTCATTTACTAGTTTTGCTCCTTTTAAATGTGCCAGTTCAGTTCTGCAATTGTCTTTAATACCTCAATTTTTAAATCGTACATTTCAGCTTTTTGTTATTCATGCCTATAAGGTTGCTTTGCTTACTCAAGCCTTTTTTTAAATCTCTGACCACTGGAAGGCTTATGTTGTAGTGGGTCTTTGGAATCATCTTGGGCTCTAGAATTAAATTTTCCTTGTTTTAATATACTCTGATTCACTTGCATCTCCCAAATGAGGTTCATTTACACTTCCAAAATATCTGGAATTATGTTGTTGTTAATGATTTGATCATCATCAATCTGCATCGCATCATGGTGAATTTCCGTTTGATGAACTCCAATATTTGTTATCTTCATATACTAAATCTATGCTTTCCTCCATATTTCCCTGATTACCACTTCCAGTAGCAGACGGGTTTTCAGGGGTTGGCATTTCATCTGGTTTCATAACATAGCTGTTGCTGTCAAATTTATTTGGTATTGTGAAGTAATTGTCTTTTAAAAGGATTAAAATGTTTTCATCAAATAAGGTAGTTCGAGGCATACATACCCCGCCATCCGATTTTAACAAATTCACCTGAAAAAAGTTAATTTCTTTGCCAAAACTCTTTGAGAATAGTGATAATACATTGTCTTCAGATTTATGTTGGTTTGCGATTTTATTCATTTGCTCGAAGCAGCTTTTTAGTTGCTGGCCAGTTCTGAGACCAGTTGTTTGTATGGAATTATATTCCCAGGCAAGCTTCTCCCAAAACTCATTTTTCTGCTTGTTAAATACTCAAGTTAGTCCTTTTTCTTTGAATTATACTTCGATATTCTTCAACCAAGGAAATTATTGTCTCTTTTCACTTTTTGAGTAGTTGGCTGACATTTTTTTCTCCGACTTTTCCATGATGCAAAACCATTACAAAACTGACAAAACTGTTAACGACAACCACATGACAACAGTGCTTTAAGCTATAAACTGAGGTTAGATGTGATTCTCTCGCTTTTTGTCAAGAGACACCAACTTAAAGAAATTTAAGATTTTTGTGTGACAGTCAGCTTGTTATCAGAAGACGAAAAGTTTTGTTTAACAGACCGTTATATTCTGTACAACTGATAAGTAACAATCTGGCAAACGCCGAATTGGTGAATATGGCCGTATACCTTGACCGACGCAGAGGTAGACGTATTTCATGTACTGTGGGCTGTCAATTGTGACAAATCTCGATCATTCTCTGCAAAAGCCGACTTCATCCACCTGGGAGCAGAGGCGAAATGATAAAGTTACTTTACCATGACAAATAAATACTTTGACTGCACAGACATTTGGGCGTAAAATACGTTAAAAGTAAAACTGGTTGCCACATGAGTGGCCCCGAGCCTTTCAAAAACTGAGAAATCCCAATTTTAATATTATTCAACCCAATCCGCATGTTGTCTGTATTAATTAGTTTGCACATTCTGACCTGAGGTTAAGGCTATCTACTCGTACATAGGTTACCAGCAGCCCCTTTGGTTGATTGAGAACAGCTATAGTATCTATATTTCGGTTGAAATGGCCTCAGCCTGTAAATGCTCTTCAAAAACCATCTTTTGCCTACATCGTTAGTACCATTCTGAGTAATAGCTTAGACAATTATATCTTGATCTTTTATCACACTGTAAGGTGAGAAATTTCAAGGCAGAAAACCAGACATGCATTTCTTCCCGACAAAGGTCCTACCGTAATCTAAACTCACAATAACATGATGGATTATAGATGCTGATTGGAATGACAGCTGTCTCATGACGACATCCAGGGTAAGCTTCAGATTTAGAGGGGGCGGCATTCCAGCTCCTTCCAGCAGATCCTTGCGTTACTTCTAGAAGCGAAATTCCAAAAACACCGAATTCAATAACCAAAATCAGAACGGTGACAGGTGTAGCTCCCACTCCGTTTCCACGTCTCACTGACGCAAAGGCTCATCTGTATCAGTATTACTCCTATATTTGATGTTTGACGCGAAGGAGTAAGATTTCTCTCTTTACACATCCAACATAGTTCTCCCGCAACCTGGACCAGACGTGGAAACTACAAGCTCTCCATTCTATTGATGTAGGATGGGGTATAATATGTGACAGCTTATCGATTCCAGAGCAAATCATTCGCAATAGAAGAAAACTGTCAGCATAGCCCGAGAAATTATACGACCAAAAATTGGATAATTCGATACCGTTCTGACCGCACCTGACGGATTCCTTAACCGCCACCCGAGGTAGACCTTAAGTTATATTATGTTAGTGGCATAGTAGCGTTGAAATTCCCTTGAGAATTTTACAAGGGAAGAAATTTCACTCGTTAGTGTATAGTCGGCTGTAAGTCAATGCTTACCGCAGAGTTTCGGACTCTGTCTTGGTTGCTATCTATTATTGCCCTTACAAGGCTTAGTAATGACTACCTCGTCCGCTCAAGTAAATATACTTTCTTTCTGTCACATTTTAGTACTGGGCCTAAAAGTGCCCATTTTTATCTTCAGGAATGCCAGAAGTGGTTTTATTAACTTTGCGAACACATCAGGGACACAATTTACCCTAAACGGTACAGCATTGTATTTGAAGAGCTGTCCATTGAATATGAATCTGAATATATATATTCTATGACTTCCTAACCGGTAGCAATCTCTGGACATTTTAAATTCAGATTCGCTAAGAAAGTATCTCTACAGAGAAGAGTCGTTATATTTCAATAGCCTTCTAACCTAAGCGTTCTATAACTATAAACAGACAAAGTGTCTTGAGGTTAGGAATCTAACGTGTTGACCCATCAGACTTGAGGGCAAGAATAAAGTTGGATACGCTCTGATTTTTAGTTGGCTCAACTTTTTTACTGATGGCACCACAGCTAAGCAATTGAGAGACAGACGAAGGTCGGTAGTTTATAGATGGACTAATGAGATTCAGCTATGGCGAAGTGATGAACCAGTCGCCATGTCAATGGCGTGTGACCACTTAAATTCAACTTAGGACTTTAGAGCCACTCCTAAAGCTCTGTCATTGATGATGAATATGCATCATCTATTGAAACAGGATACATAGACGTTAAGGGCCATATCGTCAGTCGTTCATACAATTATAGGACGCCTTTATGGCCTCCTTGATTTTGATAATATTACATCTTCTTCGATAAGGTACTTGTATGTCTTGCTTTAGATTTTCGGCACGCTGACAGTTCAGGCTAGAGGTTATGTTGTTGTTTTGGGGTTTCAGAAATTTTACACTCATGGCTCATGAATCGAAGGCAGAAGAATAATTTATTATTATGTTCCGTCCTCGTCGAGGTAAATATTTAGAATACATATCGTAGTAACCTCGTAGTAGTGCCCAACCACCACGATTTCAAAACGCACGCAGAGAACGAAGCAGCACCGCGCCACTTCCCCCTACCTTTCTCCCCTCTGGCCATCATTCCTTGTTCTCGTGCCCCACCGTCAAGACGTTAATCGGCGTGCCTCGTTTTCGTGCAGTAAAGTGTGGAGAATCCGTTGAATATTTATAATTAGAAAACAGGAGAGAAGGTTGGCCGACAGATTTGTATTGTCGAACGAGATACCGACCGACGCGACGGTCGCTGGAAGATTGCTTTCGTCTCCGACCGAAATTAGAAAGTGGGGCGCAGGCCTCTTTTCTGAAGGGGCGTCACCATCAGGTAAGTGTCAACTAACCGATCTGTTGCAGGTACAAGTTAAATGAATATTAGTATAGATGCCTCACCGGCGCTGCAAATTCTGCCTAGCATAACGTTTAGAACAACGTTCTGTCACTGTTGCTTGGGATAGCAACCTGGACCTAACTTGTGATAGCCAAATTCATACCTAGGACGGACAAAGACGTTTGGGATAACGCTAAAACATTGGACTCGGTTGCTTGGGATAGCAACGTGGACCTGGCTTGGGATAGTCAGCTCTACACCAAGGATGAACGAAGACTTTTGGGATAACGTTGTAACATTGGACTTGTTTGCTTGGGATAGCAACTTGGACCTAGCTTGTGATAGTCCACATCAAGGATGAATGAAGATGTTTGGAAAAAATGACTCAATACTGAGCTTCGCTGCACAAATAACAACACAGAAAGCGTTTGGGACAAGGTATGGTCAACAATATGTTCTCTTTTGCTTGTGATAGCAAATTTCATCTGGCTTGTGATAACCATGGAAGAGGACTGTCAGTTTGAACATGGCAGGCTAGGAAGTTGTTAAGATATATATATATATATATATTTTTCCCTTATTACCAGATAGAAATTGGCTATGTGATGCGATGTTAGCGTTACATTTGCTTGTGGTGATAAAAAAAAGAAATAGCTTGGCGGTTTTCTAACCTGACATGTTCATACTTACACACCTGTTCCACGGTTATCACAAACCACGTGGAATTTGCTATGACAAGCAAAAACTAACGCTAGTCGCATAAATGTAGCTAATCTCTGTCGTTCATTAATGAAAAACGGTACTTCGGCTTCTTCCTAACTTCTCATGCGCATCCTTACAATATTGTTGCATAGTTATCACAAACTAGATGGAATTTGCTATCCCAAGCAAAATGTACCGCTAGTCTCACATAGATGTACCCAATTTTTATCTGTTATAAATGAAAAATGTTATATTGCTACATTGCTATCTCAAGCCAGATAGAATTTGCAATCCCACGCAAAATGTACCGCTCTAGTCTCACATAGATGTACCCAATTTTTATCTGTTATAAATGAAAAATGCTATATTGCAACATTGCTATTACAAACTAGATGGGATTTGCTATGTCAAACAAAATGTAATGCTAGTCTCGCATATTCGAACCTAATCTCTATTTGTTATTAATGAAAAATGGTACTTCGGCAGATTCCTAAACTGTCTTGTGCATTCTTATTATGCTGTTCCAGGGTTATCACAAACCAGATGGAATTTGCCATCCTTGGAACAATGGATATCAGATATCTCCTTAGAAACAGTAACACAATGACGCTTCTTCGGGTTACGTTAAAGAGAGGATTTAAATTTTCATTTCGCAGTTGGCTGTAAGTCACAGTTGTCAACATAAGCCTTCATCGATGTCAGAAAGATTTTCCTATGCTGGCCGTATGTATTTAGCATTTTGATGATAAAATTGGGACGATTTGGTTTATTTATGTTAATAAATAGGAAAAAAATGCCAAATACTAATGTGTCTTTCCTTGAATTGCATCGCAATCACAGAGAAGTGAAATACTAAATATAAACAACCAATGCTGCTGCTTTTTATCCATAATGATTCTCCTAAATATGTGTAGCATCTCGATCAAATGCATCTTCTCCTAGCTAGACACTTTTTTCAGTCACACATTTTAATTCATAACAATGTAAAATTTGGGCTGAAAATATGTCTTTTTTGTAAAATACTCTAGTAGTTGAAACTGACAGAGGCAATCGACACTCTGCAAATATCAGAGCAGTTTGTTGGAACTGGTTGACTATGTTCAATTTTTACTTCTCTGTGATTGCGCTGATTCAAGGAAGCAAGCTTTATTTTTTGCATGTTTTTTATATTCAGCACAACCAAACCAAATCCTTCTGACATCGATGACAGCATGTGTTACTATTGTAGCCTACTGTGAAATGAAAATTTAAATCCTCACTTGAACGTTCCTTAAGGGAGCGTCACGGTTTCACTGTTTCCAAGGAGATATGCACTGTTTCCAAGGAAGCCTCAAGCCTCAAGGAAGGTCTATAAGTCTGACTCTCAAACTTCCCATACATATGGGCTGAATATCCTATCCTAAAAGTGGATATTGCTGCCTAGCTAAGCAAGGCAGATAAACATAGTGTGCATGCTAATATTGAACAGATTTTTTGCATTTTCTTTCTGTTCAGACCAAATATAATGTAAGTAGATATTAGTCACCATAAACTGTCTA